TTTAACACCTGTATGAAAGGTGCTTGATCTGGTCGCACGATCGTTTGTGCCGCCGCCAAAGAAAAGGATTTAGATACCGAATTAGATGGGGATAGCAGCACGCCCTTCGCATCCCTTCCCATTCGAAGGGGTTTTCGATAACGCAGCGGAATTAGCATCTGTGCTCCCGATGGAACCTCCACCGTAGCAGCAACAACGGCAGTAACTGCGTTACCCGTAGGTACGTTGGCCAACAGGGAAGGCAGGAACGCCATTCTACGACCCCCCGGCATTTCCAAACAGTCCTGGTCGACCCGTATTCTCAGCGGCATCCGGCGCAGGAAATCAGTACCGAGTAAGCATGGAACAGCTAGCGAGCGAGAGATTAACACAGGTCCTGCGGCGGTAATATTTCCGATAGCGATGCTCACATCTACCTGGCCACAGATACCCATCCTTCCCCCATTCGTGGCGACACACGCATCATTAACCCTGCGTATCCGCGACGTAGGAATGGACAACAAATGGAAAATAACATCTGAAATGATGGTGGCCGACGCGCCCATGTCCACCAAGATACGGACGTCAACGCCGTCGATGGTACCGCGTACCGTCGACAAGCCCGACGCCGCAGCCACAACTCTGCGAGCCAATTTTTTCCACTGTGTAGCAGAGCGCGTAAATGTAGCAACCGATTAAATTCAAAGAGACCTTGCGGCGTGCGGAATGCCGTTTTGGCCTTCGACTCATCATCGAGGGGAAGCTGCCAGAAGCCCGAGGACAGGTCAAGGGTGGAAAAGAATTTAGCACCCGATAAAGCATCCAATGAATCATCCATCCTCGGTAAGGGGTACGCATCCGCCACCGAAATTTTGTTCAACCGGCGGAAATCAACGCAAAATCTCGTACCACCATCCTTTTTCTTAACCAGAACGACGGGCACGGCCCAAGGGCTGTTGGACGGCGAAATAATATCCGCCGCCAGAAATTCATCTACCGCTCCGCGCACGTGTTCCCTTTCCGCCGGGCTCATGCGATGAGGGTGCATACAGATGGGAGGTGCTGCACCGGTGTCAATATGGTGCGACAAAAGCGACGTGCGGCCGAGGTCCAAATCATTTTTGCTGAAAACATCAGCGTATCATAGCAATAATGAACGCAGGGCATTCCTTTGTTCATTCGACAAGGAAGAATTCTCTCCGCATAAATCTGCGATCCAGCGTTCTTGTGAATGATCGTGCGGGAGCCCACCAGCGGGCATCCGAGCGCGCGGCGTTTTGTCGCAAGAGGCAAAGTCGGTAGTGGCGTGAGCCAGCACCGACCCCTCCGGAACAATAACGCGGTCAGGTCCCCCATTTAACACCTGTATGAAAGGTGCTTGATCTGGTCGCACGATCGTTTGTGCCGCCGCCAAAGAAAAGGATTTAGATACCGAATTAGATGGGGATAGCAGCACGCCCTTCGCATCCCTTCCCATTCGAAGGGGTTTTCGATAACGCAGCGGAATTAGCATCTGTGCTCCCGATGGAACCTCCACCGTAGCAGCAACAACGGCAGTAACTGCGTTACCCGTAGGCGCGTTGGCCAACAGGGAAGGCAGGAACGCCATTCTACGACCCCCCGGCATTTCCAAACAGTCCTGGTCGACCCGTATTCTCAGCGGCATCCGGCGCAGGAAATCAGTACCGAGTAAGCATGGAACAGCTAGCGAGCGAGAGATTAACACAGGTCCTGCGGCGGTAATATTTCCGATAGCGATGCTCACATCTACCTGGCCACAGATACCCATCCTTCCCCCATTCGTGGCGACACACGCATCATTAACCCTGCGTATCCGCGACGTAGGAATGGACAACAAATGGAAAATAACATCTGAAATGATGGTGGCCGACGCGCCCATGTCCACCAAGATACGGACGTCAACGCCGTCGATGGTACCGCGTACCGTCGACGAGCCCGACGCCGCAGCCACAACTCTGCGAGCCAATTTTTTCCACTGTGTAGCAGAGCAGGAGAAGTAAAATCATCCTCAGGAGTGTAAGAATGAGTGCGAGTGGATGAGTGATGTGACAAGACCTGCCGGGTGTCCGATTTGTGCCGACTCGCCCGAGGTTGTTGCAGCTCCGCAGCAGGTGGAGGAGATGGAGGTCCCCTTGGCGGAAGAGGCGACAGCAGAGGTCGGCAGCGGCAGTCACGGGCAAAATGGCCCCGTCTGCCGCACTTGAAGCACGCGGCCGATGTCGGCCGGCGGTCGGACGACCCGGCCCTTGCGCGTGGACGGCCCGTGTAGTGGCCACGCTGGTCGCGCAGCCGCCGTCCCGGAATCCTATGCGGAACAGCAGCAGCCAGCATGTCGTCGTCGCCCGAGTCGTCGGAGCAGTGGACCACCAGTCGTGGAGACCACCCCAAAGGCGGCCCGTCGATTTCTGGTTTCCCCGTCCACGCCGCCATCTGGTCCCAATGCTTAATGTTAAATTTAGCGTCCAGGCAGCGCGCCACCCATCGCGATGTAAGCGGTTCGTGGCCGCACACTGGTAGCGCGTGGTGATTGGTCAACTAGGGTGGGTGCTCACATCGAGGTCCGCATAGGCTCCGTCTCCCCGGGAGCGGATGACTATAAAAGGCGATGCGCAGGGGCGCTCGGGGAGTTGGTAACCAGTGAAGATCGAAGACGGAGTTGGAAGAGATAGGGCCCTGAGACCCCTAGTCCCGCTGTCCTTGTAAGGGCCGGGACCCTGTGCGGCTCAGAGGCGAGACCGTGGGACCCGCGGCCTGACGTCCTTGTGAGGCGAGGCTGTGGGACCCAGTGGTCGGGACCCATACCCCAGCCGGGGTGGGTTCCCTGGAAGCTATGGGGCGGGAGAGCCCGTGTGTGTGTAGCCGGGGGAACCGCGTAGCGTAGGCTACAGTTGGCCACACGTGTTGATGAGTTTGGTGTTAATAAAAGTGTGCTACCCGTCAAGTCGTCTCCCGCCCAAATTCTTACATTACATTTAGGTACATATATTTTTAGTTACAAATCACCTCTATGCTTACTTGACTTTCTGCCTGTTTCTTTGTCTGGTACTTTGTGGTTCTTTATGTGTGGTAAGTGTAACATTTGACGTTTCATTACTTTATTTCAAAATTATACAGTAATTTGTTTATCTCATCTTAAATAAAGTTGTTCAGGAGTGGACCATTTTGGGGCTGAAACGTATCTCAGCTTATAACATGGGGGTGGGAGTGAGTCAATGGGAAAACAACGATAGTTTAACGGGCGTTCACTTACCGAGCAATTTTCGAAATATTAAATATACCAGGTTTATCAAAATCTGTTCATATTTTGCAGGTTAATCGCTACATCTATTCATTGTCAATCGATCCATAGATCGAGTAATTCAATTTTCACGTGACACACCCCTTATTTTGATTGGCTAATATCTGCATGATCGGTGATTCCATTGCAGTTCGTGTTTATTGTATCGTAGCACTGTAATAGGATAAAATCGTACACCCGACAAAATCAACAATCAGAGATTTGCCCATATATGGAAGTGGGCGTGGCTTTGACCGAAGGGGCGTGTATTTGCCCATATATGGCACTGCGGACCGTGTATCGAGATTAAATGTATCGATTCCGCTCAGTCGATTCATAATAAAAAAAAACATAAAAATACAATACCTGGTTAATCGTAATTTGCGAGTTAATCGCTATGTCGATTCCTTACCAATCGATCTATGGATTGAGTAATGATGTGACTTGCCCCCTTCATTTGATTGGCTAATATCAGCGGTATCGGCGCTTTAGTCGCAGTCCGCTTTTATTGCGCCTCCTCGCCTGCCAATGATGACCCCCGGGAGCAAGAGGGGGAGGGTGGGCTCTGAGCCCCTCCTCCTACTAACCACCCCCTTCCTCCATCATCTCATTATCATCATCGTTAATATTAAAGGTATGTAAAGTTAATGTAATGTTAATTTATATTTCATTATGTTATTGTCTAGTGTATTGTATGTTATTTGGTGTTTTGTGACTAAACAGGCAAGTTAGTTAAGCCGTGACGGCTCTGACCATGGCCGTGGTTCCCCTAACCCTCTATTTCCCATAGGCGCTGTAGTTCACTAACCGCAAGTTTCGCTTACAGGGGCATTTCCAGGAACGAAATCCCCGCGGTTGGCGAGGGATGACCTATTTACATTTAATTTTCTGATTCGTTTTACTCTTTTTCTGCAATATATTCTGGCATACCCAAGTCCAGTTTTGAGAGGTATAACTGTATATGCTACACAGCATAAAGTGTGAAATCATATATTTGTCATTGTTACAAGAAAGTGGCACGGATTGCGACATACACATCTCTCACCTTCGTGGTTTCCCCGCAGCTCCGCGACTGCGGCTCCATGTGAGCCCAGCCCGCTTCTAGAGGTCACGTTTTTTTTGCCGACCGCAAAGCGTTTTGAGTCCACCGCGTTTTGTGGCGCGGATTACGGAGAGTGCTCACAAACCGCCAGCAAATCCGTGCATTGTAAGGCTTCGCGGATTGTTGGATCGCGATTTGTTGCCATTTATGCCATATAATGTGATTGCTTGACAATTTGTTTAAAGTATCCACGAACGTTTAGGATGGGGATGATACCAGGAGTTTGCTGTAAGAATTCCCAGAAGTATAGTTTTGCTCAGCACAAGTTTTCTTCAAGATACCTTAGTGCTATTGCCGCTAAACTTCAGGTTCATACATAGCATAGTGAAGCAATACAAATAATAACAAATAATAACTGAAAATAGTATTTCGATTTAAAGCTTTCGTGACTGCAGGGATTCATCTTCTTGGTTCGTACTGCCATCAGTAGATAACTGAGGCTCAAGGCCAGCATCTCAAGAGTATTGTTTCAGACCAGAAACCAGAATATTTTATTTCAAATAGTCATATATGTTTAAAAAAGTATGCAATCCCAGTAGGTATAATGTATATGATACTGTTTTGTCATGTTATGTTTAAAATTATTATTTTTTACTTCTGATCCCTTTCCATGTGTTGCAGCCATGACGATAGCGTGACAAGTTACCATCACTCTTGCAAGCCTACTGGAGAGTCGGCTGAATCCTTGACATCAGAAACGTAACTATTTTACTAAGCATTTCACGATTACAATGCAAGAAAAAAATGGGCTCAGCAATGTGTATCTAAAGCAGAAGTACAAAAATTGATCATATTCGACAGGCAAACCTCGCTCAGCGCTCAAGATGCATTCCTGGAGAAGTGAGCGCTTATCAAATCAGTGCTCAAAGGGGTCATTATACCATTGTACACATGGGGATGCATTCCCGACAGCGTTATATCTTTCGTATGAGCAATATATTAAGGACTTCATTGGGGTATCAGTAATAGCGCTAATAATACAGATGTTAAACTACATTTCATGAATATAAAAAGTATTATTCCATCAGCATTACGTGCTGTACTCACAAGTGCATTCTACTGTACTCTACTGCGCTCCCAATCCGAGTTTTAGTGATGCCCTCAGCCAAAATTTCTGTGGTTAGGTTTATTTTAGGTGGAGCCTGAGACTCTATCCTGGTCTCGTGAGTCCCCACCTGGCTAAATGCACTGTAATAACATTGAAAAAAAAAAGACATGGATTAAAAAAAAGAAATCGTGGCCACGAATAATGATAATCAAATCGTGGGGGGTGGGGTCTGGTTGGCTCAGAGCTGTGCGTCGCTCTCATTGGCTGAGCGAATGATGGGGGCGGGGACATTTTCTCGGCCACCGCTGCATGTTCCCACTTGTAAGTGCGATATAGGTGTTTTTATTTAAATGTTTTTTAGTAAAATGTTTCTCCAGGACAAAGAGCGATATGACGAATCAGCATTATACTGGGTCACACTAAGCGAGGTCTGCCTGTATTAAAAAAAAAAAGTTTTGCTGGCTGGCTTCCTGCCTGGACATCTGGCTGCCTTGAATGCCACCCCCAATCTGCGTGCTGACGTCATGCCTTCCCCTCACCCACCCTTAACCCCGAATAGGCTATGCTACTTTACAGTGTAATGTATTAGCCATACATGTTTTCTGGCTGAGGTGGAGGGAGGGACGGTAACGTTCCAAGGACCTGCAGACTGCTACTATTTACAAAAATAAATATTTGTGTATGTTCATACACTTATTTTGTTTGTAAAATAAATATTTTTTAATTTGATGGAACTTGAATGTTATCTATCATCATAATCACTAGTAGTCATATATATCCACTGCTGAAAGGACTTTGCATGTACAAACTGTTGCTCACAGCCACACTCGTCCACGCAGTTGTCCTGCTATCATCGCAGCTTTCCACTCTTGTTGTCCCTTCTACACTTGCTACTTCGAGGCATTTCAATATAGTTACATTACAGCTATTGCGGTTACTTTTTCAGACCAAGTCGGAGTCCAGTTTGTTGAATATAACGTGGTGAATGTGTGGTGTTGTACTCACACGGACACTCTTAACTTTTCACCTGTGTCACTTTATTTACCTTGCATCCCGTGTGAATGCTCCTCACTTACACTAACACACACACCCTTGTTCCGAACTTTCCGACTTCCCTCTACTCATCACCGCGCACAAAGTGCGCGGTAACCACCCTGTGTCCCCCACTCTCTCTTTTACTCTATACTCTACTATCCTGTCCTGCTTCCCTCACGCCTCCGCCCTCGTCCGTGCCCCCAGCAGTAGATCAGCCAACACTGCTGGGGAGGACGAGGTGAGGAGGGCGAGGTCCCTGGCGTCTTATCCCCGACTCTTGTGTTCTTCACCTCTTGAGCACCAACCCCGTGTTGCTCCGCACACTCCCTTATATATCCCTTCTCATTTGGAGTCCTCACTTACCCCTCATTAAGCTACCGCCTCCACGGCATCTCCCAATTATCCCTCCATCTTCCGCCTCTCTGGCGCCTACCCCATGCCCTAACACTCACACCTGCTCATCCCCAAATGCACCCACTCAATCTATGCTTCGCCCCCTAATTGCCGCAGCCTTTCCGGTGCCTAATCCATGGCCCCACGCTTACACCTGTGTGACCTCAGTCGCACTCTCTCCATCCCGGCTTCGCCCCCTAATTGCTGCCACGCCACTCCAGTGTTACCTCGCGCGTTACGCACGAAAAATGTGTGGTGTGTTTAAATATTACTCGCACCGACACGTAACAAGTCACCTGCTTACACTTTATTCACCTATTATTGCACTAGTTGTAGGCACTCCTATAACTATCTGTACGGTAATTTATGTCCAACTTCTCCCCACTCCTATCTACTTTGCACCTCACTTATCCTGCTCTCAGCGACTCCGTACACAGCGTCTCCGCACACAGCGTGGTCGCACACAGCATCTCCGCACACAGCATCTTCGCACACAGCATCTCCGTACACAGCATCTCCGCACACAGCAGCTTCGCACACAGCGTGTTCGCACACAGCGTCTCCACACACAGCGTGTTCGCACATAACGTCTCCGCACACAGCGTCTCCGCACACAGCAGCTTCGCGCACAGCAGTTTCGCACCCAGCAACTCTACATCTCCACCGTTCCCCTCACCTACACTCCCTCAGACCCGCTCACCCGTCTGTCCCAGGCGGGGGGATCAGCCAATACCTGCCCGGCGATGCGTGAGGGTTGAGGTCCCGTTGATGGTTGGAGCGGCAGTGGCGAGATGTTTTCGCTCTTGTCCCCGGCAACAACAACTCCCTCTTTGCTCACGCACACAGCCTTATATCACTCTGCTAATTATCCGAGACCTCCCGTGCATCTCTTTAGCTCTCACCCGACTGGCGCCAGCTGTCACAATAATCACCTTATCATCGCCCCCCATCTCCCGTCTCCCTGGCAACACCCTCTGGCCTCAACGTGCACACCCGGTCGAACCTGTTTGCACCTGCTTCGCCCCTTAACAACTGGCAGTTTGTCTGCGCAAACCTAACATTGCACACGTGCACAAGTTTGCCCTCAGTTGCCCTTGGTTACCTGTGCGCATCGCGTATTTCACTCCTCTACATCATCCCCCTCCCACGAATAAAAACGCAGCTGTCCCAGCTGTCAATATATACAAACATGCGTGTATGTGTTGTGACCGACCAATGACTAATGTAATCGTAAGCAGTGACCGTGGAAGAACAACGAACAACAACAATAAACAATAACAAAGGAAATGTTATGGCGTGAACAAACCATCCTAATTAATGAGAAGTGACGTGTCGCGAGCGAGTGTGTGCGGCAGGACTGCCCTCGTGGGTAGAGACGGTTCCACTCGGGCATGATGAATGGTCCGCTGCAGGAGTCCTCATCGCTCTGTCCATGGCCATTAGCCTCTCTGGTCCTGTCGGTGGTACAGAACAATTCTACTCACGTCCCGATTCCTCAGACGTGGCGGTCGGCGCGCCGGACACATTGGACATTGGCTGCAAGGGACGTGGAGATTAATCGACAGTACCGGGCGAGACGTATCTTTCTAACCGCGACGTAAGCACGAACCAGTGCCGCTGGCCCAACCGAATATGCACGCACTGCGGCCGCCGGACCTCAATGACCTCGACTGGTCCTTGCCAAGGATGGTACAGTTTTGGGGACGTGCCTACGGGCACTTGAGGGAAATGCAACCACGCCATGTCCCCCTCTTTCCAAGACACCCCCGACCCTCCCTGTCTCCACAGCCGCTCGTTCCCGGCCTGCCTGTGGGCTGAGTTGCTCCTAGCGGCCTCGCGGGCCAACCACATCTGCTCAAGCGTTTGCGACATGGGGTTCGGCACTACCGACCCCTTCCGAGAAGGGCGCAATCCCAACTGAACCTGCACCGGGGGTTCGGGCTCCCTCCCATATATCAAATAGAATGGTGAGAATCCCATCGAGGCATGAGGAGCTAGTCTGTAAGCAGCGAGGACCCCTGGAATGTGAAGATCCCAGTCCAACTGGCCCATGGTCACTTGCTGGCATAGCATGGCAGTGAGGGTCCTGTATAACTGCTCGACCATCCCATCCGTCTGTGGATGATACAGTGAGGTGCATATCTTCCGCGTGCCCAGAGAATCACACACCTCCTGGAGCAACTTGAAAGAGAAATTCCTGCCCTGATCCATGAGGAGTTGCTCAGGGGCCCCTTATCAAGGTCATAGCCATATAAAAAGGTGTCGGCTATAGACGCAGCCGATTGGTCAACCAGAGGCCAGACCATCGGCCAACGGGTTAGATATTCAACCCCAATGAGGAGGTACTTGTGTTCTCTCTTGGAGACCGGAAAGGGCCCCAAAATGTCAAGGGCCACCAATTCATTCATCCATGACAAATGATGGACTATAACGGGATCTGCGGTCGCAGGGTAGGAGATTTCCGACGCACACAATCAGCACAACCTTTAATCAGGAGGAGTACATCGGCTTCCATTTCGGGCCAGTAAAAGTCCCTTTTCAGCATCATCAACGTTTTATGAACACCCAGATGCATCAATTTATCATGTATGCCTTAAGTAAGTTTACCCCGAAGGACCGCAGGTACGACCAAATAATAACGCTGAAACTCCCCTTCCCAACGCATGAGTCTCTCTTGCAGCACAATGGATGGGCGACCTGGGGGGCCCGGCCCACGAGAAGCACTACGGCGCAACATCAAGAGTGAGGCGTCATCAACCTGTAGCTTAGCCCACGCATCATGGTCAAGATTCAGGACAGAATCGCGTGGCGACTGAGCGCCTACATCGCACGTTGTCCCGGCCGCCGCCAGCACCGCGGGCGCACCCTCTTGCACTGGCTTACATCTTGACGCCCCCGAGGCACACGTGCACGCGACATGGGGCGGCAAGCGGGACAAGGCATCAGCATTGACGTGCCGAGTGTCTTTCCTCTGCACTACTGTGAATGAAAATCCATGGAGGATTTTGAGCTATCGGGACAACTGCCCGGACGGCTGATCGATGCGCAGGGAGTACTGGAGGGCCGCATGGTCCATATGGACGACAAAGTCCCATCCGTACAAATATGGACGATAGAGCTGGATGAAATGGACCATGGCCAGTAACTCCCTGCGCGTGATGCAATAGCGCTGTTGACCAGGAGGCAGGACTTGACTGCCGTAAGCCACTACCCTCTTTGTGCC